GTAAATTAGGGCTCTCGCGCAAATGCAGATACGTCTTTACGTGCGAGGGGCGACGAGGAGCCTCACGTAGCGCCAGATGTCAACCACGATTGAGCAGTGTCCAAACATCTTCGAAAAATGCATCAATCACTGGCTTTGGCTTCTGTCTGTCGCTGTTGACCGGCTCCTAACATAATGGACTAGCTAGACTCAGGTCCCTGAAAAGAGTCTTTTAGTCTGAATTTAAGGTAATTCAATGACGCATCACGGGGAAACGTACAGGTAACATATTTTAAGACGTTGCCATATCCTTGTGCGCATCCTTCTGTTGTCGTTTTTACTTTCTAACGTTTTACTTTGCGCATCGACTCTACCCAAGTAGCAGTGATCGTGAAAAGTTGCGATTTGATCGAAAAGCGTACTCCCGTGTGAAGGAAGAACGCTGTAGGAACATTTAAGATTTGCCTTTCCTTCGATAAAATGTTTATTTTTGAAGGAAGCCATGGATATTCATCCTTGAAATTTTCAGGAACTTTAGGTGAAATTGCGAACAAAATTATCTGAAAAATTGGAGGAAAATTATTTACAAAGTTTGCCGATAATTCGTGATTTACCGAAGGAAATTTGGCAACGTCTGAAAGCTCATACGGCGTTTTTCCTCAGCACGGCAGTGCAGATGTCGCAATTTTATCGTCATTGATTTGTTGCAATATTATCGGATAAAAAATTGCGATTTAATCACATTTTACAATAAAATTGCCATTTTATCGACGGCGATCTATCGCAATAATATTGAACAAAAAATCGCGATGAATCGAGGGGAAATTACGATTTTATCGAGGGCAATTTCATACAGATACAATTGCGACAAGATTGAGGATAATCGTTCAGATGATGATGATCCTAGCGATTTTATCTCCAAAAAATCGCAACCTCTTTTAAAAATATCGCGATTTTTCCGTTGAAAAATGTTTTTTGGGTAAGAGTGAATACAACAGCTCTTATCACAATTACTTTTCATCAACAGAGAAATCCATCAACCAATAAAAAGAGGGTTCATCCAGCTGTGCTGCGTGTAAGGAATGTGCCATGCCATGTCATCACATATGTTGACTCAAAAATATTGGCATGTTCCGTGGCCTAACGACTCATAAAAAAATATATTATTGATAAAAACTGCTCGGCAACGTTTCACCTCCCTCTGACATAATTGCGTATTTTAATTCGGACGTGAGCCCTGTCTTCAATATAACTCTATGCTTTTCGGGGCTCATGTGGAGATCGAGATACGCCCAAATATCAGAGGAGATTCACGAGTGAAGCTAAAGAGTGTGGACAACCCTGTCCAGCTTCGGGAATGTTGTGCATAGGGATAACTGGGTGCAAATGAGAGCCCCCTATGGCGAAAGCGACCCTTTTATCCTTACATCATGATCAAAGAAAGGTCGACCATCCCCGAACAAGTTTGCGCATGCTTCGAATTCGAAGAATTTCGACACAAAAAGATGATTTTTAAACTGGTTCCAACTTGTTTACTCTCACCAGTCATCACCAAGAGCCGGGATTTTATTTTGGAAAATTGTCGCTTTGTAGAGCGGGCTCTTTGAATTAACGGACTTACCAGAAAACAGTTTTGGTTGATTGTATTAGTTTTGGATACGATTTTTTGAAATTGTACCCCCTAGTATTCCTACTGTTAACGGAATTCCTACCTCAGATCTTAGCAATTATAAGTATTTTTTTAAACCATCAGCCATTAAGTCAGCCAGCGGGCCAATCATTAAAAAATAATACTAATTTAGAAAAAAAACGTGTAACCCTTAAAATAAGTCCAGAGACACAGTTTCCGATTTTTAAACGATTTTGATAAATTGGCATTAACATTTAGCCCCTCTCCGTTCCCATGCGAACGAATTTTGTCTCCCTCAAGACTCCGCAAAAATATCGTCCAGAAAATTGAGGCATTTTTCGGTAAAAGGGCGTATGAGGCTTCTGACGCTGCTAAGACTGTGCAACGTAGTTCCCTAGTTGAAAGAACTTAACTGACATTTATACTATGAAAATTTTTCCCTGAATCTGCTCCGAGTTTTTCTCACTATTGTAAGGAAGTAAGTCGATAATGAATTAATTTTATCTGCCGCAAACGCTATGGAAAGTTGCTCAGTCTTAGCAGCATTGCATGCAAGCTGCATACGCCTCATACGCCATTTTACCGAAAAATGCCTTCATTAGCAAACAAGCTCATTGTTGAGGTTTCAATCAGGCTCGGACTGGCCTTGAGGCCAATCTGCCATTGGTAGATACGCCCTCTTGCCGCGTCAAAAAAGTGCCCCTCTGACAGATAGCAAAATAAGGAGAGAAAAAGAATTACGACCAAGAAATGCGGAAAATTTCTTAAATGAACGGAAGAAGAGAGAGTTAGGAGCAAAGAAAGGTGTTTTTACGCACATTAGTGGTGAACAGAGGTCCAAGAACTACTTTATGAAGCGTAAACACTTTTCCGTGAAATGTTCACCTTTTTGTTGACATACATGCACTTTATTATCCCCCTTCTTCATTCGCTGTGTGTAACTCGCTTAGAAGCGATGGTCGGTTCGATTTTTAGGCATACACACCCTATTTAGACCTCTTGAGAGACCTTTAAACATATTTCTTCCTTTTTAAAATGACTATTGATTTGGACATACCATAGCATATCTCGGGCAAACTTAACCGTAATTTATATCGAAATTCAAAAATAAGAGACATCTAAAGTCTAAACGCGATACAACTATTCGCGCAAGATGGATGTCCACATTGCATATGAAAAATGTAAGATGCGATGGCGTGAGTCGTGAACTCGCAATGCTCTGCTCTATGCTACTAGATTCGAATATAAGACAAACGCAAGCGAACACAATGGAAATAAAGCGAGGGAAAGGATGCGCGTTAACGACGGAGCAGAGATACAAATATTCGTACTTGATGGACGTCCGTGCTGCATCCGAACAATTGAAGGCGCGATGACGCGAAGCGTGACCTCTCAATGCTCTGCTATGCGCTGTCAATGAGGTGTCGCTCAGTTTCGGGAGAAAAGTTAAAAAAGAGGCCCGAACACATCTCTCCTACCTTCGGCTGTGTTACTCATGTAGTGCTTGAAGTACCATTACGAATAAGACGAACGGAAACAAACACAATATGGAAATAGAGGGAGGAAAAGGATGCGCGTTTACGACGGCGCAGAGATACGACTATTCGTACTTGATGGACGTCCGTGCTGCATCTGAAAAACTGAAGGCGCAATGACGCGAAGCGTGACCTCTCAATGCTCTGCTATGTGCTGTCAATGTGGTGTCGCTCAGTTTCGTGAGAAAAGTTTAAAAAGAGGCCCGAATACGTCATTCCTGTCTTCGGCTGTGTTGATACTCGTCCTTTCTTCTGTCTTCAGGTTCTTGTCTGATTCTTTTTTAGGATGGCTTTGCAGACATACGTCTTAATCTTCTGATTCTTTTTTAGGATGGATTTGCAGACATACGTCTTAAGCTACGTCTTAACCGCAGCAATGGCTCGGTTTATTGGAAATAATGGTGCTTGGGTGCGTCTAGTGTCTTTAATTTTTTATGTTTCCTTTAATTTCAGAAATCAGTCGATTACTTAATACTCAAATAGTTCAATTTTGCAATTTTTACTCTGTGTGATTAATAAACTTAGAGTCTGAAAATAGTGTGAACTTGTGCTGCTTTGCCGAAATTTTCTGAACCCCTCTCCACGTAGGGGATGCGGATGCCCTACCAGGAAATACCACATTACGCCCCTTTAACCAGCTAAGGGTCTACGCCCTCATATGGGAGCCAGTCCGAGCCTGGTTTCAATCCCTTCTCGTTCCCTTACAAACGAATTTCGTCCCCTGAGGACTCTGAAAAATCGTCCCTGGCTGCCTTTGAACCCCTCCATCCGCACGGTCTGCAACGGGTTCAACAACCGCAATCCAAACGTTATCAGCGAACGGGCATGCTGCCGTCCTCGCTGTATCAACACTCGAGTGTCGCCACATTTCTCCGGATAAAACATGTATTCTTAAAGAAAGTTGTGCATCATTATTTTTCCGTGAAATTTTTGGACATGCTAGATCAAATTGCGAACAAAATTATCTAAAAAATTAAAAAAAAAAAAATTCAAAATTTTTCCAGTAAATTTGGTTTTCAGTAAAGGAAATCTAGCAATGCCCCTAAAGGCTCATACGGCGTTTTCCCTTAGCACGGAAGCAATGCAGCATGACAGGCGGCAGGCGGCCCACAGTGCATCGACTCAATCAGAGTGGTCGCACATGAAATTTTTAACTAAAATTGCAAGTTTTGATGTTTAATTTGTCACATTTTAAATTTGAAGGGGTGTTTTTGAAAGGAAAGTACACGAGGAAACCAATGGAACCGCACTTTTAAGACATCAATGTTTTGTATGAACGGCAAGGTGTTATGGAGCGTAAGAAAGAAATGAAAGATTGAAAATTTCAGTGAAATATTTCATAAAATTTCACGAGGCTGTGAAATGTTTCATATTTTTCAGGGGCTAGAGTATGCAACCCGCGCTCAAACATACAAAAATAGAAGAAAGTCACAATTTTTACATTTTACGAAACACGAAAAGGAGCCGGTATTTTTCAAAATCTCTCATAAAGTTCTGAAATTTCATGAAATATTTCACGTGGAATTTCAATATTTTATTTTTGATGAAATTTTGCTACCCTGATGAACGGAGTTATAAGCTTTTAAAGTTTCCAAATTTGTTCTAATCTCTCTGATTGGTTCGATTCACTGTGTGCTCGGCTGATTAGGAAAGCGGCATCTAAGCATCTAACCCAGTTCGTCGGGTCTGTTTCCATTTGGCAAGTCGAGGTGGACCGTCCGTCGCGCGACTCCGGGCCCGCGGCGAGACCGGCACGGGTACGGCGACCGGGTCTTCCCCGGGCGGGCGGGCGGGGGGTGGCGCGGGGGGCGGGTTGCGGGTTGACACCGCGAGTTATCACAGGTATCCGGCGTAGCTGCTCGAGACGGCGAGTGCTCAACAGTCGCGCGGTTGACCGCTCCGCCTCGAGTCCGAGTCATTCTTGCGCCTCTTGCGGTAGTCGCAACCTCGTCGCGTCATCGCTCCGTGCTTCCCCCGAGTTCCCGGCGTTTTTCCCTCCGTGCGTCCGCGGGCCCGGTGATTTTCCCTCATCCCCTAGCCGCTGCCCTCCAAGGGAAAAGCAAGGTTATAAAGTGCTGCCCCGCCGCTTCAGCCGCAGTCGCGGTCACGCCTTCTCCAATTGCGCTTAACTCCGTTTCGCGCCGATCGTGTCCGTAGTTCACGCCAAAGTGTTTACATCCGCTGGATTTTGACCACCACGCTGAGATTATTTTTGCAAGAAAAAAAATTGGTGATTTTCGCACTTTAAATCAGGGCTCGAACGTGCTAGTGTTTAAATTCCGATCCGTGTTTGTGATCATGATTATAAAGTACTTTGAGCAACCGGTTAAATCGACCATGAACGTTTGTCTGTTCTCTCGCCGGGAATTTGTGTGCTTTTTTTCGTGAGGAAAGAAAAACAATCTATTTTATTTTTTAATATTTGATAACTCAACTGTCACCGCGCTCGTCGTATATATTTTTATTTATTTTATGCATTTATCTACAATACCGTGAAGGATTCTTACAATTTTCCTCTCATTTCCTAGATCTCCGAAGCAGTTATTGGTGATACTTGTGTCGTGTTAAATTCTGCCTGTTTTTTTGTCTGTGATGGTTGTGTGAGTCACGGGATTCGTGTGAGTCGCACAAGTGTTACTCTCTCACTCGAGGTGTTTTTACGTTTCCGATGAATCGATCGGCGTACAGTGTGATGGACACCGAGCAGGAGCAAGGGGCCGGCAACGGCGTCAAGCTCATCGGCTTCGTGGCGACGGATCCCGAGGGACGCAGCCCGGCCGAGACCCAGGACCCCAGGACGGTGCCCGGCGGCTTCGTGAACCGCGCCTACGAGCCGGCCGCCGATGAGAATTCCAACGCCACCCACGGCTACTCACCCAATTCCCACCAGAGTCCGCTGTCCCACAATGGTGAGTATTCCTCTCGTGTCTCTTTTTTGAGTCTATTAATGGAGAATTTCCACACAAAAATTGCCTTCCTTCACCTGAGAGTGCCTAATGAGCTGAGTTTGCAGTATTTTTCATAATTTTTTGCTGACATGAGAAATCGGAGAAAAACAGATTTAAAAGTGAGAAAATTTGCCGCCTTGTTGTGGCGTCAAAAAATCATCGTAATCAGTTTTTCTGGCAGTATCATTTTAAAGATGAAATACACAAAATTTAAGACACCTGCAAATTCTCTATCAACTGATATTATCGCCGGCTCGAGTTGAAACATTTTACTGTTCCAAAGTGATATCCGGAGTGAATCCCAGAGTGATATCTGGAGTGAATTCCAGAGTGATATCCGGTATGCATTTCACTGCGGCGCTTGTTCTGCCTCCAAAAAACAGAAATCCGAGCGATATGAGTGGGGAGCGGCACTTTAATTTTCGAGAAGTGAACCCTGTTCTTACAGAGAAAATCGACTCTTTTGCTGAGTAAACTCTGCTCTTTCGGAGCAAATGTCACTCCTTGCCCAGATCCTCAAACTTCCTGGGGGCAATATTGGGACCGGAGTGGAGTGCACTCCGGATTTTACACAGAAAATTTTAACATTCTATGTGACCATCCTAGGGAAAGGAGGCTTGTGTCCACAAAAATGTACCAGCGATGTCCCTGTCATCAGTCTTTTCGTTTGCTTTTCTCGGATCTCATCTACCAACAGATGACACGTCGTAGATGGTCACAAACGGACTGCGTTCAGCAGAAAGGAAACAAACCACATCGGCCAAGGCCGAATTTAAGTGGGCAATTTAATTTTTTTACAAGATAATTTTTGTGCCTATTCTTTTGAAGAGTTCAATGAATTTACTTCGTGATATGCAGAAAATTCACTGAATTTTGCACAAAATTCCGCACAATAGTTTTCATGTGAAAAATTGAATTGCCCAATTCAATTTGGCACAATAGCTGATGTAGCTTAGTTCCTTTCTGACCAACGCGGTCCAAATATGATCGCCTTGCTTCGAATATTGTCCAACTCGGAAAAAATAACAATTCAATTCCATTGCAGGGCGATGGTTCTTAGGATGGTTTTGCATAGCCTGGTACGTCACATTTAAAAAATAATGACTCCCCGAGGCCTTAAAAATTCGCACCATACACTATGCCATTTTATCTTAAGCGCTTTCACAAAATTGATCGGTCCGGTTTCTCAGGAGAAATGTGAAGTTAAGACCACTCGCGCATTACCTTTTTTAAAATTCCATAGAAAAGGGGAACAAAAATTGAAGGCAACATGACAAATTTTACTGATACGTAATAATGTTGACCTGCATCGAAGAATTCCGGTGAATCGATGCGTCGCCGCTCCAGCACAAGCCTCGGAAACTATTTGTATATAAACATTTACGGATCCGTCGATTTTTCATAGTTGTTATAAATTATTCAGAAACAAACGGATGTGCGCAGTTGCTGATGCACTGCTGACGCCCGCAACGTAAACAATGCTCACGGTTTTCTGAAATTTGAACGCTCACAAGATTCCTCGGATCAAATAAAGTAGCTCCGATCTCAAAATCAGCGAAATCCTAATGTATGTGACATACCGACAGTCATTTTGACCGGAAACTCAAAGTTCAAGTCCACGAGGAAGAAAATAAAAACAAATTATTCATACCGGGCTGTTGGAATTTCGGCTAAGTTGCAAGTACCCAAAACTACTTATTGTTCGTCCCCGCAGAGTTCTGATTCTTAGCGGTGACGTAAAAAAAAATATTTTTTACTTTAAAAAAGTAATACAGGGGATTACATTTTTAATTACACACTGAGAATAAAAACTCTGACCGTGGAAGCCGCATTTTTGGATTATATAGACCTATCGTCCGCGTTCCGGGCTCAGAGGCCGAAAGCTCCAGGTGTAGCTCTTAGAGCAGTCGAAGCTACGGCTCCAGTACCCGGAAATTTCAGCCTCTGAGCTCAGAACGGATGACACGTCTGCATAGCACGTAACTTTTTTTCAGTGCAGTTCAAGAAATTTAGTTGAATCACGCTTTCGACAGAGTAAAAAATATTTTAGTTGTTAAAGTAAAGTCAAATATAGGGAAGTTGGTATGCCACCTGCCAAAAGTATAAATGAAGAAGGGTAAGTAGGAGAGGCTAAGTTCCCATCTTTAAAATTTCAGTAGCTTTTCTGGAATGTTTTTCAATTATTATGACCAAAATTTTCATAATTTAGCTATCCAGAATAAGAAGTTATACGAGCATTAATCATATGAATTTAATAATTGAGAATAAACATATCTACTGCCAATTGCTGCCCATAACCCGGCTGTTTTCCTCGGGAACCATCACCAACACACTCTCATGCGATTTTCCCGTTTGGGCTTGTATGATTAGTTGGTTCTGCCGCGAGTTTAATTGTTTTGGGAAATCCGAGGAATGGCTTAACCGGTGGATTTGCCGTTGCGCTTCGATGAGTCATCCGTGGAGCTCCGCCCGCCCTAATTCCCCAATGACGAACTTTTGAATATCGCGATGCATCTCGTCAAGGTCGACAACCTTGAACTTGGCTCTTGTCGGAATTAGATCCACAAACTGAAGTACAGATCTATTACAGCTTGATTGGCTGGTGTTTTTTTTATTAGCTCATTCAGGGAACTTTTATAAATTCTACCTCTTACCTACTCTGCTTAAATGATGAAAGATTGAGTTCTTAATGACGTCACCTTCCTAAGCGCCGCTGATTGAAAACTTCAACAGGTGGGACTAAATTACTTAAAACAACCCCACGAGAAGACGCCAACTTTAAAAGACGATCATGATTATGTGAAAATGATGAGAAAAGACGTCTTCCAAATCAAGTCAAGGATAAAGTACATCTTTACGAATAAATGTATTTTTCTAGAAAAGTTCCGGCTCGGTTTGGCTCGTGATGCTATATGAGCGCCGAGAAAAAAAGCTAAGATGGGAAGCTAACTGGCTTATACTGATTCCTGCATTGTTTGATTTTTAAAAGGGCTCATTATAATTAATTCAATGGGGATCCATACTATACATTTATTTTTATAGAATTGCTTTGGAGGAATCGTCATTTTTATAATATTTCACCATTTTCACCAGTGGCATGAAAAATCAATGATTTATTTTGGATCATGATATGTACTTGATGTAATTTTTTGCAACCTCCATTCAACGATTCAGAGAAAAATCACATGTACAACAACAAGCATCTTTTAATTGTCATCGTGTTGCCAATTTGTCACAATTTGTCAAAAATGATCTAACGGGAGTCTTGTTGAGAAGACGTAAGTGTCGCTAGTTCTGAATCGGCAATAAATGATGAGGTCAATAGTTTTAATAATTTTTAACCCTACTGATTGATCAATTTTAGAGGGGGGGGGGGTTAAGTCCTATCAGTTATGGCAACGTAAGTGTAGTTTCAGTTCTCTATGATTTTAAGATGAATTTTCAGTGTTAGATACTAAGTGCGAAGAAAACTTTACGGCGTTTTTTCCAATATTTGATCAGAATAACCTAGGATCTTTTTCTGGGAGTTATGTTTCGGAAGAAAATTTAAAGGAGACTTGAAACATAAGCGCTACCGAATGCGTACTCGGTTTTTTTCTATCTTCTTCCCTTTTCCTATATTACCAACTGGCATTGACACATGCGATTCTCCTAGCTCAAGCGGAAACTTCAACATCAATCGCTGCATAGGCATGGCTGCCTATGCTCATTAATGCACGAATTTTGAGGTATTAAATGAGTGCGGAAGTTGCGGCTTGTTATCGACAAGCTAATGAAGAAGAAGCGAAAATAGTACGCAAAATTGGTGCTCTGTTTTCGGCATATCTAGAAAACGAGATGAAACAATGGGCATCAATATGCAAGATTTTTCAAGTTCATAGTGATCCTTCTCTCGGTGACACGGAACTTCAAGCAATCAAGGCTTGAGTTACAGTATATTTTAAGAGAAAGGTCACTTAAAAAAAGTACCATTAGGAAATTACTTTCACTTACAATTCCGAGCACTAGAATCCCAATTCCTGAGATTGTTGCCGAATAAATTATATTCAAACCAGTGTCGAGGGCTCCTATTATTAAAAAAATCTATTCCATTTTCGGAAAAAATGGTTTATTATACAGTTGGGTGAACTTTTCAAATTCATCCAAGTTTTCAACCTTTATTTTTTCGTATGAACGAACCGTTGCCAACGCGGGGAAATATCACATTAACGCCATGCATGTTCACCTTCAACTTTTAATGTAGGCAACACAAACTCTCACGTGGTCGAATAGTGGTATGGTCGTGAAATGGCAAACTCACACGGAACACATTAAAGAAAAAACATTTTACCGAAAGGTTACTTCAACGCCATATCAAGTCGCCTTCAACTTTTAGAATAGGCAACACAAGCTCCAACGTGATCGAATAGTGGTATCATCTCCCGTGTGATAGTCATACGCTCATTGTCAGCCCGGTCCGCGAATTGATTGCAGGCATTAAAGCTTCCATTCGAATCTCATAAAACTATTCCTATCTTTTAATGGAATGCTTTTATGTCGAATGAAAGTTGAGTTCAAATTCCTGTTCAAGCGCATTTACCTTATGTACCGATCAACGGTCAGCAGATAAGTGCTCCTTTCACGCTGTTTTCCACCTAACTGTTATTTTCTTTTCAACCGCATGAAAAGGCACCTTCTGATCTCAAGATAACCAATTTACAATCAATTTAATTCAGATCAACTTCAAAATTTTCGATTCAAATGTTTTAAATTTGAGTTCTTCAAACACACTTATTTTTGTTGAAGCTTTTATTTTCTAAAAAATGTGAAGTACCTAGCTCTGAATAAATGACCCCTAATAAAGTTGATTTAAAAACTAAATTCTCCACTCGAGTGTCATTTTGTAGCAGAACTGAGTCGCGGGTATGGTGGTACCTTAATCGCAAGTGACTTTATAACCTTCAGCGGGAATATACTACTGT